TGTGTGTGTGTGTGTGTGTGTGGTGTGTGTGTGTGTGTGTGTGGGCCTAATCAACCCCCCCCAGCACAGAGTGGTTGGAGACGTGCTCAGAGACAAAGGAGTGTCTTTGATCCGGCTGCTTGAACTAAGACTTTACGAATTTAAGTAACACAATGACAACATGTAGCAGTTTGACTCCAACAGACACTGTGATCAATAAACCCCGCTGATGTAACGAGCTGTGTTGTCATCCTCAGCGCCATGGGAACGGTTGTGATTGATGGGCGGATCTTTGTGTGCGGCGGCTACGATGGAAAGTCGTCTCTGAACTCGGTGGAGTGCTACTCCCCGGAAGCAGACAGGTGAGGAGTCGTTCCACCTTAAATCCTTCGATTCTGTGTAACCCGAGCATTACGGCTAATAGCGCCGCGTGATCAGCGAGGGCTGTGTGGGTCATGTGACCCGCTGCTTCCTCAGTAGGAGTGGGTTTAAAAGTAATTCCACACAAAGACGTAAACACAGAGCGTGGATCGTTCACAGATTCTGCAGGTTTCCTCACGCTGAGCTAAACTGACTGAACCAGCAGCCAAAGAAGATCCAAAGTACGCTTCAAAGAAGAAAGCCGTCCTGGCTCACCTTGAGCATGCTCAGATCTCAGCTCAGGTCGGCGTCCTCGTTAACATGGCGGTGCTTATGTTACCGTTCTCTCCAGGTGGACTGTGGTGACAGAGATGAGTGCGAGCCGCAGCGCCGCGGGCGTGACGGTTTTTGATGGCCGGATCGTTGTCTCGGGCGGCCATGACGGTCTGCAGATCTTCAACACAGTGAGTTTTAGGGCGGAGCCTAAAACTGAGGGGTGGAAACGTTACCCGTAGTTTTACACAATGTCTGTTTATCTCTGTTTTTGCTCCGCCCCTGCAGGTGGAGTACTACAACCACCACACTAACCGCTGGCACCCGGCGGCACCAATGCTGAATAAGCGATGCCGTCATGGGGCGGCGGCGCTCGGCAGCCACATGTACGTGGCGGGGGGGTATGATGGCTCAGGCTTCCTGAGCGGCGCCGAGGTGTTCAGCTCAGCATCTGGACAGTGGAGCCTCCTGGTGGCCATGAACACGCGGCGCAGCAGGGTGTCCCTGGTGTCCACGTCGGGGCGTCTGTACGCCGTAGGCGGGTACGACGGACAATCCAATCTCAGCTCCGTGGAGATGTACAACCCCGACACGAACCGCTGGTCCTTCATGGCACCCATGGTGTGCCACGAGGGGGGCGTAGGCGTGGGCTGCATCCCCTTGCAGCCCGCCTAAACCACCTATCACAGCCCGAGGACTCGTGATTTACTGACTGCGGCAGGCGGGAGCACAACCCGCGGCGACGTCCCTGCAGCTTTATCGGTACGATGGCTGTGCTCAGGCTTGCAAAATGACGCCGCACCTGCAGAATCATGGGAAAAACTGTAGCGCTAGCAGCAGAGGCTAGCTGCTAACATTATTCTGTTAGCGTGTGTGGAACGATTGATTACTGATTATTGATTACTGATTTCTTACTGGATGGACACAAGCACCAGGAAGTGACTTCCTCCCAAACAAACCAAGCTGCTGATTCGGACAGGAAGTCCTTCCTTAACGGTTTCTCGAACTGTCATCGATCAGCTGTAATCGATGGGAGCGATCAATACAAAACGCCAGCAACACAGGAACCCCGCCCTCTGCAGGCTGCACAGGAAGCTCGTTTGAGGAACGTGTTGCGCCCCCAGAGATATTAATAAACTCATTCTCACGTGACAAAACATGGTTCTCCAGCTTTCCACAGGAAGTGATGTTATGTAGCGTGCAGTCTTTAACGTTGCTTTCGCTGCGATGCACAGGCGGGCTGCAGATACCTGCTGCTGCTTGGCTGATGCATCCGAAACGCTCGTCAAAGGGTCACCCATACTGCAGTAACCAATGAGGGTTTGTGTGGTGGTTGCGCCACCCCTCCAGGGCGATTGGCTGGATGGGGTGTGGCATCATTTGCGCCAGCCGTGGTGGACACGCCCCCTTACTTATTGACATCTGCATTTGCGTCAGCGGATAAGCGATGGAGCACGCTCAGTAGACAGATGTATGTTGAACAGCTGGAGGCGGAGTTTAGCGCACTCTGGGGGCATCGCACTCTGGTCGCAGCCTGCAGAGAGCGGTCCAGTCGATCGTGTCATTGATCTCCGTGCTTAGAATCCGTCAGTCACTGTTTACTTCCTGCTGATCTCTGATTGGACGCTCAGCCTCATCATCAGTGGGTTTTATTTGTATTGATTAACTTATGATTGATTTGTTTTGTTGTGGATCAATAAAGAGAAGTTTGGTTAATAAAGTTTATTTCTGTCTCTTTGTTTCTGACAATAATCCGTTATTGATTATGACATCTAAGCAAAAAATTAGCACAACTTTGTGTTTTTGGGCATGTTTGCTTTTGGACAGGAAGGGGCGGAGACCAGGAAATGACTCGGACCTGTTGCCCTCTCAGTGACCTGTGGCGACGCCATTGTCAGAACGCGTTGCGTTTTAAATAGTTTATTATTTTCTCTTTGAATCAGTTATTGATCCTCAACGAAGGTTTATTCTCAGGCGGGGGATGGGCGGAGTCATGTCCTTGCTATCAGGACCGGGGGATTCGGCGAGGCCGTCAGCCATCACTGCACCCCTGTGAGGCACCACCCTCACACAAAATGACAAGCACCACCAGGACGAGCTGAGATGTGCTCACTCCTGCGCAAAGTTGGTGTTGATGCTTCGGAGCTGTGAGCGCCGGCTGGAGGGCGGGAGCTCTGCATATAGTCAAGGGCGTTCTGTGACACGCTGACGTCATTCTCACACCTTTATTTGAGTTTGAAAGAAACAAGGAGCTCCTGAATGCACCGTCACATTCACTTTTATTAACACAGAGCAACACGAGTCTCAGGTCCAGTCGGGCTCAGGCGGGTCCTCGGGTGTTCTCGGCAGGTTCACCTGAAGACCGTTACAACACGTCACATCCACACCGAGCAGCTGAAACGCACACTGCACTTCCAGCATCCTCCACACCTGCACAGGTAGACCGGGTCAGCCTGCTCAGGCTTTCTTCTGGGGTCACTGTGCTGCAGGTCCTGGAGATCCTGGAGGGTTGCTCCTGGAGTCTGGAGCAGCAGCTCCCTCGGGCTCCGAGTGGAGATCTGAGCACCTGGACAGGTAAGTGTTTGTGTTAGTTTTACCCAGAATCTCCTTTAACAGTCAGACTGAGTCTAATTCATATTTCGTGTTGCTCGCAGTGACGACATCCTTCATCAGCTGATTCTGTAAACGTCTACATCAGTCCCAAAGTGCGGCCCCACCCCCTGCAGCTGGGCTGAAGTAATAACAGAAATTCCTGTGAAAATTTATGAACACTGACACAAATATATAAATGTGTGTTTTCTACAAACTGTAGCAGGAGGCTGTTATGCTGTGGCATTACTGTGACATCATTGCTGTGACCTCTGACCTCTGCTCTGTGTTGAGGTATGAACCCTGATTTTAATCAAATTTAAGGGAAATCCATCACGCGCTCCCGTGAATGCTTGGTCACATGGCCGAGTGTACGAGGCACTCTGTGACCTTTAGAGTAAGTCCCCCCCCCCCCGCACACACAAACGCATGCATGCAGACACGTGCACACGCGCACACCTCTTATACACACACACATAAAAACATCTTCGTATCTAAGAAGACAAAAAGATGTGACTGCTGAGAGGATTCTGATGGGATGTTACTGATTAGCAGGTGTGTGCGCTGACTAATGACCAGGCTTGCTCTGGTAACGTCTGTGTTCTGTGTCGACGACTCACAGCGTCTCAAAGCGGTTCTCCTCGCCGTCCAGGATGCCGTGGTACAAGTCGATCTCCTGCTCTAGCCGTTGCTTGTTGCTCAGCAACGTGTCGTAGTCGCGACGCTGCTGTTCGATTTCACTGCGTATGTCGGCTAGCTCCGCCTCCAGCTTGGCCACCACCGAGCCGAGATTCTGGAGCTCCATGTCGTGCCAGTGACGGGCGTCGCTCAGCGAGTTCTCCAGACCGCGTTTCTGCAGAGAGTGTATTTAACCAGTTAGTGGGAACTCGATCAGGTTATTGATCGCTTATTGATCTGTGCAGATCTTGCTTGCCATGTGGCTCACCAGGGCTCTGATAGACTCGGTCTCCGCCTGCAGACTCTGGATCTTACAGCCGGTGTCACTGCACTCAGCCTTCAGCGCCTCCACCTGTTCCTCCTCTGGACTCAGCTTGCTGCTCACGCACTGTGCCTCCTGCAGGACACACCGCCACAGGTCAGACACGCCCACACACACACATCTTGGCACATCTGTGCAGGTGAGAGGACCTTACTTTACAGTCCAGGTAGGTGTCAGTCTCAGCCCTGCTCTTCTCCATCACTTTCTCCCAGTGGCTCCTGATATAGGCCAAGATCTGGTCCAGACTGGTTTCTATGGGCGCGTCGGGCTCGTCCACATCACGTCCCGCCATCTGACTGTACAGGATCCGCACATCCTGCTCAGAGAAGAAGTGGTCAGCTCACATGACCTTAGCCAGCTAAAGGAAGATCACACCTGCCACACGTGCTCTGAGTCTACTCTGACTTTACTGTGTCTCCGCTGTCACTCTTCTGACTCTACTCTGACTCTGTGTCTCCGCTGTCACTCTTCTG